CTGATAAAGGCTTGACGTCCAGAATATATAAAGAGCTCACACGCCTCAACAAACAAAAAACAAATAACCCAATTAAAAAATGGGCAGAGGAACTGAACAGACAGTTCTCCAAAAAAGAAATACAGATGGCCAAGAGACACATGAAAAGATGCTCCACATCGCTAATTATCAGAGAAATGCAAATTAAAACTACAATGAGGTATCACCTCACACCAGTAAGGATAGCTGCCATCCAAAAGACAAACAACAACAAATGTTGGCGAGGCTGTGGAGAAAGGGGAACCCTCCTACACTGCTGGTGGGAATGTAAATTAGTTCAACCATTGTGGAAAGCAGTATGGAGGTTCATCAAAATGCTCAAAACAGACTTACCATTTGACCCAGGAATTCCACTCCTAGGAATTTATCCTAAGAACTCAGCAATCAAGTTTGAGAAAGACAGATGCACCCCTATGTTTATCACAGCACTATTTACAATAGCCAAGAATAGGAAGCAACCTAAATGTCCATCTGTAGATGAATGGATAAAGAAGATGTGGTACATATACACAATGGAATACTACTCAGCCATAAGAAGAAGGCAAATCCTACTATTTGCAGCAACATGGATGGAGCTGGAGGGTATTATGCTCAGTGAAATAAGCCAAGTGGAGAAAGAGAAATACCAAATGATTTCACTCATCTGTGAAGTATAAGAACAAAAGAAAATCTGAATGGACAAAACAGCAGCGGAATCACAGAACCCAAGAATGAACTAACAGGTACCAAAGGGAAAAGGACTGGGGAGGATGGGTGGGTAGAGAGGGATAAGGGTGGGATGCAGAAGGGGGGTATTAAGATTAGCATGCATAATGGGGGGGGTTGGGAGAAAGGGGAGGGCTGTAGAACACAGAAGACAAGTAGTGATTCTACAACATTTTGCTATGCTGATGGACAGTGACTGTAGGAGGTTTATAGTGGGGACCTGGTATAGGGGAGAGCCTAGTAAACATAATATTCTTCATGTAAGTGTAGATTAAAGATAACAAAAAATAAAAAAAGAAAGAAAAGGGGGATTACTCCCTGATAGGATAAAACTAACTGTAAATTAACGATTAATGCATGCTTTAAATATCCTTAATTTTGATCACTTAAAGGGTGTCAGATGATCGCCTATGGAGGTACACTTTTCTGATAATATTCTTTTCTCTTAAAAAAAAAAAACAGTTCCTGTGTGTTGACCTCCAAGGAGTTCTACACAGTGGTATAAAGGGCATATCAAAGTGTGGGCAAATGGTCTGTTTGTGTTTATACAGAGGATCAAAGCCTAATTAGGCTACCCAGAAAATGAACTAAGATACTATATGAAGAAGAACTTCCAACATCAGCACTCTCTGGAAGACTCATACCAGAAGATAATCATCAAAAAACCTCCACAAAGATCCAGGCGATGCTTCAGTTCTACCTGTTTTCATCCCACTGGTTCCTGGACTTGCCATGGGAATGAAGAAGGAGATATCTAAGCTGGCCTGTGCATACAGTAAAACAACAAATTTGACTACATCTATACGGTTGGAACTCAACCAAGAATTAGGAGAAGTGCAAGTAGTAGCACTCCAAATTTTACAACTACAGACTATACTGTTAAAAGAACATATGGGATGTGAACAGTTCCCAGGAATGGGTTGTTTTAATTTGTCTGATTTCTCCCAGACTGTTCCAGTTCAGTTGGACAATATCCATTATATCATAGACAAATTTTCACAAATGCCTAGGGTGCCTAACTGGTTTTCTTGGCTTCACTGGAGATGGCTGGTAATTATAGATCTGCTTCGGTTATGTAGCTGTATTCCTATTATATAAATGTGTGTGCGCAATTGAATTAGTAGTTCAAAACCTATACATGCTTAAGTTACTCTACAAGAAGATATGTCAAAGAAATAATCAATCTTCCCATGTTTTCTTCTGTCTGCTACCTCTATAGCTTTTCTTCTTCCTTCCTAATTACAACCCTTAAATAGAATTCATGCCTCATATCGAATTTACCGAGTATCATAATTCCTCCAAGTGGTAAAGATACCTCAAGACAAATGCTGGGCATAGAAGCCACAGGGCATAAATATGCAAAGAAGTAAAAAGCTAACCTTTTCAAACAATATTGCTTCTCTCTCACTTACCAACTTTACATTTCCCTGTATGGCCCCAGAAGATGACTGGTTAGCCAGAGACGGGTAAGATTCCTCATGGGAGGAACAACCTAAGACAGGCACAGTCACAGGGGGGCCATCAGGTGAGAAATTGGGGATCAATAGAGGTGAGGCTTAGAACCTCACCTCTCCTTGTTTTGAGAGAAATCTGCATCCGTGGATGTTTTATTGCCCTTCTCTAGCTTGGATTAACACATAGTCTACAGGCACACACCTGATCGTCTACATTTGCCCTCTTACAACACTAAACTATGTTTTCTACCTTTATCTTGCATCTACCTACCACTTCAGCATTTTATTTTTAAAAAAATAATAATAATAAAGGGAGAAATGTGGGATTCACATATAAATCAAGTATAAAAATCAAACAAATATTCATATTTTACCTGATTGTTTATAGTTCATAATGAGTGATCAAAACTGAAAGTTTTTGTGATGACTCCCCTTGTACTGTTCACCATGTAAGAACTTATTCACCATGTAAGAATTTGTTCACCATGTAAGAACTTGTTCATTATGCTTCAGAAGATTGGAGACTGATGAGAATTAGGCTGGGGGTGGATTAATGATTGTGCATTGAGCATTGAGTCACCTATACAGAATTTTATTGTTGTTAACCATTTGATCAATAAATATGAGAGATGCCCTCTCAAAAAAAAAATCTCAGTGAAGCATAATTAAAGGAAAAAAAAAGAAGGTACTAGTGGTAACCAATTTGGGAAGGGCACGGAGTGTGGGTGGAGAGGGAAGGAGAAGGAGATTGAAGGCTATTATGATTGGTACACATGGTGTGTGTGTGGCGTCACAGGGAAGGAAGGCAGTGTAGCACAGAGAAGACAAGTAGTGACTGTGGCATCTTCCTACACTGATGGACAGTGAATTCAGTGTGGTGTTGAGGGGACTTGATAATAAGGGTGAATGTAGTAATCACCATGTTTTTCATGTGAAACCTTCATAAGATTTTATATCAGTGATGCCTTAATACATACATATATAATTATGTATATATATATAAATACACACATACTTACATACCTAGACAAAATGTGTAGAACAGCTATTGATTATATATATGTACACACATACACACACAAACTGTATAGTAGCAACAATTCCATGAAAAACACTTGAATTCAAGGTAGCACCAAAGCAGTGTTGAATAACCTCCCCTCCACCCAGGATCAATGCCCTGACCATAATGCATCCAGAAACCTGGAACTGAGCACTAATTAGGGCACAAACAGAGAGGGCTCCAGGAGAAGGACTGTAAATGGTATAAGAGCAGAAAAGTGAACTGCTAACAGAGTATGAAAATACCCCATTGTTTTTACCCTCTTCTGCATTCTTAGGTGTCCCAAACCTCAGTCAATTTCATGATGGCAGTAGCAGTTTGACAGCACCTACTGGCCAAAACCCCTCTTTCCTCCTGCTACTTAGACTTACAGACACAGCCAGATTTGCAGAAGTACATGGTCGAGCAGGGTAACTAGAGGCACAAATTTCTGGCTGGAGGAGAGAAAAGAGAAGCCCGTGGAAACCATTAAGTATTGAGCAGATGGTGAAAAGGAACTTCTGAGTCATACTTGTAAACTCCTGGGCTCAACCAGCCACAAGCCTTGTTTTGTGCCTGGATCTGTTGCTAATTAACATACCAGAGACACTGAGAGCAAACCTAATAAATTAAACATTGCCCAGACAAGAGATTGACCTGGTTGATGCACATGCAAAAAATTCTGAGTAACACTACTCAGGCTCTGAAAACTGACCTGACATTGGAGTCAGAGCCCACAGAAGGCCTGAAACTAGCCAGAGTGATTGCCTGCTAAAGCCAAAAGTATCAATATACTCCAAAAATCTAAACAAAGAGTCTCACATCAAAATATTATTCAGAATGTCCAGAATATAATACAAAGGTATTCAGTATATAAATAACCATGAAATTTTCAGCTTGCAAGGGAAAAGGCAATCAACAGGATCTGAATTGACATAGGTGTTAGAATTATCTCACAAATATTTTAAAGTAGCTGTTATAAAAATACTCAAAATACCAAATGAAGAAATAAATGAAGTCACTAAACAGGACTTAGAAATCAACTTTTCCTCATCTGAATTGCTTTCTGTCTAAATTGATTACTACTTTTATCAGGGGCAAAAAATTTTTTCTAGTCCTAAATTGTGATACCTCCATTTTCCCCAGTTGGTACAAAATCATTTTTTTCCCACTTGTAAATCATATTAAAGACTCAAATACAAGTTTTTTAAAAAATTTCAAGCTTTGTATACAATATATGAGATGATATATATATACACACACACACACACACACACACACACACACACACATTTTTATAGTGTATCTAATGTGCGATAATTCCATTTGAATGCTCTGCTAAGTTTTTCCATGGACTTATTGACTTTTTATTTGTAAATCTCCATTACTTACTTTTTAATTTTTTCTCTCCTATGGGCTTCAATGATAGGCTTTTCTCTTACTTAATAATGATAGTTTGCATCTGCATCTGTGTAACAGTTTGCAGTTTGTAAAGCTTTTCAGTGAAGTTTATTTTTATTCTCAATCATAAATTTAATCTGATCCCAGTCTCTTACATCTTTCTCTAACAGTTTCTTCTTTTTACTTATTAAAATAAGTTTTTATACATATTTTTACACAAATTAGAAGCCAGTTTATGGCTGTCCATCTCTCCTTGAAAAATCTCTACTTTTTAACCATTCTCCCCATGTAGGAACTAGTTCTGATCATCACCACTGCTTACCACCCAATGCCCACACTCTCCCTGAGGTCCAGCTTCTTACCTTGCTTTGCAAGTGATTCAGTAGGTACAAAGTCTTTTTCCACATTACGGGTATGCATTTTGCTCCCAGTCTTTCTGAGGGAGCTAAATTACAGTCAACAGGCTGAGTTTAGAGCTTCCTCAATAACTGAAACTATGTTTTCATTTAAATCTGGCTAGAAGTGAAAGAGCAACACAAAAAACGTGTTTCTAGTCCCTTAATTTACCACAACAAAAAAACCATGCATGTTAAGAATGTCTTAGTAGATATTGAAGCTAATTCACATACATTGGTTGCAAGGCGAATTGATACTTGTTAATTTAAAGAAAGAAATGAGAATTTAGTGGAAAGAGGTATTCTCAGAGGACCTGAATGTTAGGCAAGTAAAAACAGCAATCCTACCCTCAAATTAAAATCCATTCCCAAGGGCTCACTTGCCTTAAAAAAAATTCTGTTTTCAAGAGGTACATATATTGACCTTACCTAAGGATTTCTTACATCTCAGAATACCTGAGTAGTCTTTTTTTTAATCGTTGTTTGTTTTACCTCTTGGTACAGTAAGAGAATTTTTGTCTTGAATGTTGTAATGATATATATATATATACAATAGATATATTGTATATTAAATCTTGCTCTGAGAAATACATTATCCCTTGGTAGACATGTAGATGGGTACATATTGCCTTAATCTACTATAGTTTCCCCTTCCAGTCACCTACCCTAACTCCTACCACCATGGTAGTTATCACCAGTCATTTCTGAGTGTCTATGAGTCTACTGCTATTTTGTTCATTTTGTTTTCTTTAGTCTTTTTATTCCATAAATAAGTGAGATCATATGGCATTTGTCTTTCTCCACCTGGGTTATTTCACTGAGCATAATACCCTCTAGGTCCATCCATGTTATTGCAAATGGCAGGATTTTTTTATGACTGAATAATATTCTATTGTGTATATGTACCACATCTTCTTTATACATCCATCTATTGATGAACACTTTGGTTGCTTCCATATCTTGGCTATTGTAAAAAAATGCAGCAATAAATATAGGGGTGCATTTTTCAAATCGGGGATCTTACTTTCTTCAGGTAAATTCCTAAAAGTGAAATTCCTGGGTCAAATCGTATTTCTACTTTTAGTTTTTTGAGGAACCTCTGTACTGCTTTCCACAGTGGCTGCTCCATTTTAATTCCTACCAATTTAATTACTGTTCATTCATTTTTATTCTAGCAGACAGACACCCTGTTTAGATGGATTTAGCACAAATATTCTGGCCTACTCTTGTGATCTGTGGTTGCAGGGACACTCTAATTTTCAGAGTGCTTGCAGTGTTATTTTGGTCTTCTGGGTTTATCTGGTGCCATGGGGCTCTCATGGTCTCTGCTGGTGGGTGCTACATGAGGGAGTCAGAAGGAGCTTCCCCAACAGCCTGGCCCATGTGAGTGGAGGAAGGGAGTTTCCAGACCACATAGATGAAAGAAGCTTCGTGGATAGTGTGCTTGTTATGGTGGGCTCACTCCTGTTGGTGTTCCAAGCCATGTGGTGTCTCTGGGTGGTGAGAGGGGAGTTTGAGATCTGGAGGTATGAGTACTTTCCTTAGCTGCTTATTATCAGCCAGGCTCCCAATAGATCCCCTTTGCTAGTGCTGCTGGATGCACCTGGTGGTGTCAGTGAAAAGCCATCAGTCAGGGTCAGGAAAGAGTCCTCTTGCATCTCCTTTCATTGTTAGGTGGGGGGTCAGAAAATATCAAGTCATAGCGACCTTCTTCTTTTGGATATGATGGAAAGCAGACTGAAGATGCTCTGCCATTGTGTTAGTTCTCCAATTCTGTGATTCCAAACCAGTTCACCCTCATTGTACCATCCTTAAAACTACACTGATTGCTCCTTGTGTTATTTTCAAATGAGGATCAAGGAGACATGAGTCTACTCCAGCTTTTCCTACCAGAGGTCATGGTTCCACCCACATTTTTCATCCAACTTCCTGTAAGGATAAATATAATCCAAATTCACTTATTTTTTCCTGGTTTCTTTCCCATTCTTACTACTTTGCATCTTTCTGTTTCTTGTTCTCCACCTGTTCTTTGGTTATTTCTGCTCTCGAGGTCCCAGTGCTCTCTCTGGTTATCACATTGCATTCTGAGAGACACTGGAAGTCTAATTGTAGTTCTGACTAGAATTATTTTTTATTTGTTAAGGTATCATTGATATACAATCTTATGCTCAGATTTCATATGAGCAACACTGTGGTTACTACATGCCCCCTATTATCAAGTCCCTACCACATACCTCATCACAGTCACTGTCACTCAGCATAGTAAGATGCTATAGAGTCACTACTAGTCTTCTCTGTGCTTTACTGCCTTCCCTGTGTGCCCCCTATTATGTGCTAATCATAATGCCCCTTAATCCTCTTATCTCTCCCTTCCCACCCACCCTCTTCAGTCCCTTTCCCTTTGGTAACTGCTAGTCCATTCTTGGGTTCTGTGAGTCTGCTGCTGTTTTGTTCCTTCAGTTTTCGCTTTGTTCTTATACTCCACAGATGAGTGAAATCAATTTGGTACTTGTCTTTCTCTGCCTGGCATATTTCACTGAGCATAATACCCTCTAGTTATATCCATGTTGTTGCAAATGGTAGGATTTGTTTTCTTCTTATGGCTGAATAATATTCCATTGTGTATATGTACCACATCTTCTTTATCCATTCATCTACTGATGGACACTTAAGTTGCTTCCATTTCTTGGCTACTGTAAATAGATTCTGTGGGTTTGTCCTATATGACCTTTATTATGTTGAGGTACTTGCCCATTTTGTTGAGAGTTTTTCTAATGAATGGGTGTTGAATTTTGTCAGATGCTTTTTCAGCATCTATGGAGATGATCCTGTGATTTTTGTCCTTCTTTTTATTGATGTAGTGGGTGATGATGGATTTTCGAACATTGTACCATCCTTGCATCCCTGGAACAAATCTCACTTGATCTTGATGTATGATCTTCTTGATGTATTTTTGAATTCGGTCTGCTAATATTTTGTTGAGTATTGTGCGTCTTTGTTCATCAGGGACATTGGTCTGTAATTTTCTGTTTTTGTGGTGTCTCTGCCTTGTTTTGGTATTAGAGTGATGCTGGCTTCATAGAATGAGTTTGGAAGTATTCCCTCCTCTTCTATTTTTTGGAAAACTTAAAGGAGGATGGATATTATGTCTTCCCTAAATGTCTGATAAAATTCAGCGGTGAATCCGTCTAGTCTGGGAGTTTTATTCTTGGGTAGTTTTTTGATTACCAATTCAATTATGTTGCTGGTAATTGGACTGTTCAGATTTTCTGTTTCTTCCAGGGTCAGTCTTGGAAGGTTGTATTTTTCTAGAAAGTTTTCCATTTCTTCTAGGTTATCCACTTTGTTAGCATATAATTTTTTATAGTATTCTCTCATAATTCTTTATATTTCTGTGGTGTCCATAGTGACTTTTCCTTTCTCATTTCTGGTTCTGTTTGTGTGTAGATTCTCTTTTTTTCTTGATAAATCTGGCTAGGGGTTTATCTATTTTGTTTATTTTCTCAAAGAATCAGCTCTTGATTTCTTTGATTTTTTTCTATTGTTTTATTCTTCTCAATTTTATTTACTCTCTAATCTTTATCATGTCCCTCCTTCTACTGACTTTGGACCTCATTTGTTCTTCTTTTTCCAGTTTCAATAATTGTGAATTTATACTGTTCATTTGGGATTGTTCTTCCTTCTTTAAATAGGTCTCAGTTGCTATATACATTCCTCTTAGAACTGCCTTTGCTGTATCCCACAGAAGTTGGGTCATTAACCTGTAGTTTTCATTTGTCCCTATATATTGCTTGATCTTTGTTTTAATTTGGTCATTGATTCATTGATTATTTAGGAGCATGTTGTTAATTGTCCATGTGTTTGCAAACCTTTTTGTTTTATTTGTACAGTTTATTTCTAGTTTCATACCTTTGTGACCCAACTTGGTTGCTATAATTTCAATCTTTTTGAATGTGTTGAGGCTCTTTTTGTGGCCGCGTATGTGATCTATTCTGGAAAATGTTCCATGTGCACTTGAGAAGAATGTGTGTCCTGCTGCTTTTGGGTGGATTGTTCTGTAGATGTTAGGTCCATCTGTTCTAATATATTGTTCAGTGCCTCTGTGTCCTTATTTTCTGTCTGGTTGATCAGTCCTTTGGAGTGAGTGGTATGTTGAAGTCTCTTAAAATGAATGCATTGCATTCTATTTCCCCCTTTAATTCTGTTAGTATTTGTTGTACATATTTGGGTGCTCTTATCTTGGGTGCATAGATATTTATAATGGTTATATCTTTTTTTTGAACTGAGCCCTTTATCATTATATAATATCTTTCTTTATCTATTGTTACTTTTTGTTTTGAAGTCTGTTTTATCTGATACAAGTATTGCAACTCCTGCTTTTTTTTCCCTATTGTTTGCATGAAATATCTTTTTCCATTCCTTTACTTTTAGAGTTTCCAGCCCGCATAGATGAAGGAGTCTGTGTATGTCTTTGGGTTTGAAGTGAGTCTCTTGTAGGCAGCATATATATGGGTCTTGCATTTTTATCCATTCTATAACTCTGTCTTTTGATTGATGCATTCATTCCATTTGCATTTATGGTGATTATCGATAGATATGTACTTATTGCCATTTCAGGCTTTAGATTCGTGGTTACCAAAGGTTCAAGAGCAGCTTCTTTACTATCAAGCTGTCTATCTGAACTCACTTATTATGCTATTATAAACACAATCTGAGGATTCTTTTCTTTCTCCTCCCTTCTTTTTCTTCCTCCTCCTCTCTTTATATGTTAGATGTCATATTCTGTACTCTTTGTGTATACCTTGACCGACTTGTGGGTAGCTGATTTAATTTAGCATTTGGTTAGTATATAATTGGTCTACTTCCTTTGCTGTGGTTTTATTTTCTGTGGTGACAGCTGTGTAGCCTTAGATGTACTTCCATCTAGAGCAGACCTTTAAAATACACTGTAGAGATGGTTTGTGCAAGGTAAATTCCCTCCACTTTTGCTTATTTGGGAATTGTTTAATCACTCCTTTAAATTTAAATGATAATCTTGCTGAGTAGAGTATTCTTGGTTCTTTGCCTTTCTGTTTCATTGCATTGAATATATCATGCCACTCCCTTGTAGCCTGTTAGGTTTCTGCTGAGAAGTCTGATGATAGCCTGATGGCTTTTCCTTTGTAGGTAATCTTTTTCCTCTCTCTGGCTGCTTTTAATACTCTGTCCTTGTCCTTGATTTTTGCCATTTTAATTATTATGTGTCTTGGTGTTGTCTTCCTTGGGTCCCTTATGTTCAGAGATACGTGGACTTCCATGGTCTCAGAGACTGTTTCCTTCCCCAGATTGGGGAAGCTTTCATAAATTATTTCTTCAAAGACACTTTCTATCCCTTTTTTCTCTCTTCTTCTTCTGGTACCCCTATAATGCAAAATATTGTTCCATTTGGATTGGTCACACAGTTTTCTTAATGTTCTTTCATTCCTAAAGATCTTTTTATCTCTCTCTACCTCAGCTTCTCTGTATTCCTATTCTCTGACTTCTATTCCATTAACTATCTCCTCCACCTCATCTAATCTGCTTTTAAACCTCTCCATTGTTTGTTTCATTTCAGTTATCTCCCTCCTGAATTCATCCCTTAGCTCTTGCATATTGTTCTGTAGCTCCATCAGCTTGGTTATGACTTTTATTTTGAGTTCTTTTTCAGAAATATTGATTATTTCATCCCTCTTTTTGGTGTTTGAGGTATTTTGGATTGAAAAAGGTTCTTCTGCCTTTTCATAGTCCTGGGGCAATGGGAGTGGTCGCAGGCAAGTGGCATGGGTGTCAGCTAGGACAACAAAGTCCCTTCCTGCTTTCCAGTTGCAGTGCTTGTCTGTGCCAGTTAACTGCACACAGGGAGCAGCCTCTGCATTGATCCCCTAAGCTGCTGTGGGCAGGGCGGCCCTCGGGATGGCCTAGCGTAGTGGCGGGGGTTGCAGGCAACTGGTGTGTGTGTCTGTGGTGAGGACAAAGCCCTTTCGTGCTTCCTGTTTGCCATGCCTTTCTCGACTGTGCCAGTTAACTGTGCACAGGGAGTGGCCTCTGGGTTAATCCCCTATACTGCCATGTGTGGGTGGCCCTCAGGATGGCATAGGGTGATGGAGCATGTCACAAGGCAAGCGGCATGGTTGTTTGCATCGAGGGCAAAGCCCTTTCGTTCTTCCCGGTTGCCATGCTTGTCTCCGCTGTCTGGGCCGGTTAGCTGCACGCAGGGAGAAGCCTCTACATTAAGCTGTGTAGTTGCTGTAGGTGGAGCTGCCCTTCGGCTGTTCTGCAGCAGTGGCATGGACAATGGGTTTGTGCGCAGGTGCCAGGGGGGAGGAAGAAGCGGCAAGCTACTTATCGCAGTAGGGGACCTGGGGCTGCATTGCAAACCAGGGGGATGGAGTGCCTGAAGCTCCTGAAAGTTCCCAACCTGCTAGGCTGAGTGCGCTGGACTGATTTTGTCCACCTGTTCCTTCTCCTAAATCCTTGCCCCTTTAGCAGCCTTCTGACTGTTGAGAAGTGTTTCAAAGTGCCTGCTTTTCTTTTATCCCAGGGCAGCCGGTTGTGGGAACCTGTTTGCAGTCTTAGTCTCTGACTTTGGTTTTCAGCCCCTCTAGTCTCCAGAGCACCATGCAGTGTGGGTCTGTGCTCCCAAGGTAGATTCCTAGGGCTGGGTATTTAGCAGTCCTGTGCTTCCACTCCCTCCCTGCTTTGATTCTCTTCCTCCCGCCAGTGAGCTGGAGTGGGGGTAGTGCTTGGGTCCTGCCTGGTTGCAACTTTTTTACTTTACCCTTTTCCATGAGATGTTCGCTTCTTCCAAATGTAGACTGGTTGGTGTACTTTTTACTTCTGGTCACTCTTTTAGGAATAGTTGTACTTGCTGTATTTTCAAAGTGTATGTGGTTTTGGGAGGAGATTTCCACCACACTTCTCACACCACCATCTTTTTTCCATTCTGACTAGCATATTAAAAGCACCCAACTTGCAAAATGAGACATCCTGCTTGGGGTTCCCACAGAAAAGATTTAAATGCCAGCACCTACTTTCTTTCACACATTGCAAGTAATAGCTGTACATACATTATACATTCATTTCCATAGCACAAAGAACAAAATCTATTTTCAGTTTTTTTCATATTCAGAACATTAGTATAATGAATGTGTTTGAATACAACTTGCATCATTGCTGTGCCATAGAGTAGATACTCCTTATCTCAAATATTTCCAGTTTATTATCTGGAGAGTTTGTGTCATGGCTGTACTTTTTGTGACTCAAAGTAAAGAAACTCAGATAACCATTAAATATATTCCATGATACAGAAAAACTGTATGTTTTAAAGCACAATGAACACAAACTATTAAGAGTAAATATGATATTTGAAACATACACAAGAGCAAAATATATTCAAACAGATTAATTCATTTAATAGACATTAATTAAGTTCCTGCCATCTGTCAGGGACTGCACAAAGCACTGAGACATAGTGAAGGAAAAGTCACTGTGGCCTCTCCCCGCATGTAGTTACATTCTCATTGGGAAATGAGAAAATCGAGTAAATCATAGCAACACAGTGTACTAAGATTTAGGTTGGCGGAATAATGACTATGAGAACACAAGATAGGGAATTATTTAAAAAATTTAAAAATAAAAATAAAGAATTCTAGACCAGGTGAAAAAAACAAAAACGAAACCAACTACTGTAAATGACTAACTTTCCAGTTTTTACCTTTAAAAACCCTAAACTTTGTCAGCAATTCAGAGCATAATTTGGGCCGCTGCCTAAATCAGTGTCCCCCTCATTGCAATCCCAAAGACCCCAAATAAGCACAACTAATTGTTTAAAAAAAAAGATGGGGAGCTATAACCTAATAGAAAGATCATTCATGGAAAGTGATGATTAAATTAAGACTAAGGATGAGCTCGCCCAGTTGCCTGTCTATGGTTGCATAAAAGCTGATTTGCTCCAGAGCTGATATGCTCCATCAGAGCCTTCATCCTCTCCACTGTGATTTGGGTCTTTGGAACTGCAGCTGCTGACATGGCTGTAGTTGTAATTACCCACGGGTGGCTGTACCCTGAGTGCTTCTAGAGCTGCTAAAACTGCTATGCAGTAGTCCCACCTAATCTGTGGGGATGTATTGCGAGACACCTAGTGGATGCCTGAAACCGCAGATAGTACTGAACCCCATATATACTATGTTTTTTCCTATGTATAACAGCTATGATAAAGTTTAATTTATAAGCTAGTCACAGTAAGGGATTAACTTCAGTAATAAAATAATTGTAACAATATACTGTAAAAAAAGTTATGTGAATATGCTCTTGTTCTCTCTCACAAAATAGTTTACTGACTGTGCTCACCCTTATTCATGATGATGTGAGGTGATAAAATGGCTGTCTGAAACGATGAACTGAGATGAACAACGCAGGCATTGTGCTGTAGAGTTAGGCTACTGTTGACGTTTTTGCTGATATGTCAGGAAGATTGTCTGCTTGCATGCCTCAGTTAACCACAGATAACTGAAACTGTGGAAAGAAAACCCACAGATAAGGGGACAACTGTATTATTTCCAATGGACATGAACACCATGGAGTTTCTGTACAAGCTCAGGCTTGACAAGTTGCACTTTCTGGGACCCTTCTACAAGCTGGGATGCTATCCACTAGCAGGAAACTTACTTGATATTTTACTTTTATTCATTTATTGTATGTATGTCAGATCTAAGCAGAGAGAGGGAAGGATTTTGAAGAGAAAGGCAAAAGAAGTTTGAAAGGAAAGCAGTGACATAATTTTAGTGTATGACCTTGGTTACCATTAGTAGTTCGTGTTTACTGAGAGCAAATGAGGAGTCACTGAAAGATTTTATACAAGGAAGTAACCTGATCATATTTTAGATTGGAATGATCATCTTGGTTGCAACATAATGAATGAATCAGAATGCATTTAAAGTGGAAAAATGGGTAAGTCCCAAATTATGTAGATTTTTTTCCCTATGTTATAAACCATGTACTTTCACAGGTTTGTTCTTGTGAAGAAATGTTTCAGATGTGTGCTTTGAATGATGAATTCAACTGATAGTGATTTCCGCTGAAACACTGGAAATTAATCTGATAGAAACCTATTTAAACAGCTCACTGACTTTCTGCTGGGAGCAGCAAGAAAATGGCAGTGAACTTAACATCACTTACAAGTTTCCATGCTGGTAGCAGAACTATTGCTATTATGTTTACTTTTCTTTAAAGTTATAAAGGAAAAACAACAATTTATTGCACATTTACTATGAGCCAGATATACTGGCAAGAGACTTTCATCTGTTACCTCATTTGATCTTACAACTAGCCAGTGAAACTGGTATTGTTATGCTCACGTTTCATGTTAAGAAACTCTGAGCAGCTTGCTAATTTACCCAGGTCATAGTTGGCAAGAAATGAAATCCACTCTTTAAATATAAGGCTTGGAAGCTAGTTCATAAAAGAAAACTAGGCCAATTAGGGTCACAGTGCTACCAACACCAAGCCCGTGCCACTTGCTGCATGACATGCCAGTAAGTGAAGAGACAAGGTGTTGGGGCCAAGAAAAGCAACTTTATTCAGAAAGCCAGGAGACTAAGATGGCTTACTAATATGAAGAACCATTTCAGTTTAGGCTTTTTTTATGTCAGGAAAGCAGAACAGGGGACGGTTGTGATCAGGAAGTAACAGTCACCACAGACATCTGGACATAAGCAGGGGTCCGAGGAGACTTGTGAAACTCCTTGTCCTTGGTTCGTTGACTCCGGTTCTCTTGTTGATGCAGGTCTGGCTGTGATGTTCCTACGAGGCCTCAATGATCCAGTCGTTTCTGTACATACACTTCCGTGTCTCCCTGAGGGGTGGCGAACTTCAGGTAAGGGGCTGGTTGCACCAGTTTTAAGCTGTGAACAAAATACTTTTTGATGATTAACAAGCCTGTGTGCAGGGCTGCAGGGCTTAGCAGAAGCTTTTTGACCCAAAGATTAAGACATTAAAGGAGACAGATAGCATATGAATGCAGAGATGCTAACCATTTTTACTCTGTTAGAACAGTTTGACCAAAATTTTATTTGTGAGTCAGTCACACACAGTTTATCAATATGAAATCTTGGGTTTAGTTTTTTGCCAGGTTTTTTGTTTTTATTTTTTGCTTTTCAGAGTTCTGTAGAAATTTAGCTTCTTTGTGGGAAAGTTAACATAAATGAAGAAAATAGGGCAGAGTCTCACAGTCATAAAGGCATAGCCACAGTTTTGAACACACCCTGTATTTGACATTGTGCTAGTTTCTTATGATAGAGACATGAACTAGAAATAGTCCCCAAATCTTAGAAAACCTGAGATGAAATGGATTGTCAGGCAAAAAGCATTATTAGGGTTAAATAAGGTTATTACTCACTGAAAAAAAGCTTTAAATAATGAAGGAAAATTATTTAATAATATATATGTAAAATATATACAGTAAAATTTGGCAATTTACAGAAGATTTGGTGACAGTACACCAAGGAAGTAGAAATGGAAGTATATAATATAAAGAAAGGATGCACTGTAAATTGCTATTTTAATCTTTTGAGGACTCATCAGTACAGTGCTACATTTAAAACATTTTTTTCTAAAAATTAAGTCATATATTGAATAAAATTCAGTAGTTCTGAGATTGGGTATTGAATACTTAAAGAATTTGAGTAACTGTGATTAATTTGATATTAAAGGCAAGATTTTTAATCCAATAAAGTAAAATAGAGAATAGTATTTCTTTATAGGTATAGAATTTATTTAGCACACTTTAAAATATAAGCACTGAGAAAGCATAAAAAGTATTTGTCAGTATTTTTAATGTTTTAAAAGAATACAAAATAAATATTAGTTTTAGTGCTTTTTAAATTTCCCTATATATTTCTAACTGGTAATAAGAGAATTTTGAAAATGTTAACATAATTTTTTAAAGGTCACAGACCAATTGTAATTTTTCTCATTAGTTTTTGAAATCATTTTGGATGGTGTCAGCCAGCATGGTCATCTTTAGGCAAAAAGGATGTCTACAGAAAAGATGAGTTCATTGATATTGATTATACTCAGGGTTTTAAATACAAATATCAACTCACACAATTTAAAATCTATGTAATTTAGAATCATGCTCATCCATATCCTTGTGTTATGTTCCTCAGGGATGGCTTTGTAAGACAAAAGTGAAATGTTATGGTCCCCCACAGTGGGGAATTACCTATAAAGACCTGGAAGTAACTTGGCATCTGCAGACATTACTCGGTTTGCTGCAAATCCATTTCCTGTCTGTGTAGACCCTGGCGCTACTGACTCCATTATCATTCAGGTAGGCGCATTCCCCACCTCCTTTGATGACAAACCTAAAAACCAAACACCAAGTATTAAATATCCATCGATTGAACCCCTGCACTCATTCCTCCACTAACATCTTCAGCGCCCCCACTCCAGGTGTTTAATGTGAATAAGAGAACAGTAAAAATAAAAACATGTCTCTTACATGGCTTCACAATAATAAACACCACTCCTGTATTTAGTTCCTTCTACATCTCAAGGCCCTGCTTGCATATCACAGAGCTCATCATTCAGCCATACCGGACGCAGTGTGTATTATTGATTAGGTGTTTAATCAGTGCTTGCTGTTGTCCTCAAATGAACTACTGCCATTGGCAGCCTTCAGTGAAGATTATTTTCAGTCTTCTCCTGAACTGTTACATAAATGTGTGGAAATAAAAATATTTTCTAGTGAATTTCTCAAGAGCTTAGCTTTAACTGGTGAAAGTTATTGGGCCCCCTACATTTATTTGCTCCAAAATACCCATGGAAATGTTCACAATCCAAGAAACAGTTACTAAATTCTTTCTGGTGATACAACTTTAGGAGAAATTCCCCACTGGTTCCCAGAAGATCTTCCTTTTATGAATGTATGCAAGAGTGGGCTCAAGAGTTATGTGGGTATCAATTCATCGGTGGCTTTCTAGGATTTTAGAATCCTTGCTGTGCATCAGCTGTTCTCTCTACATTCTAAATAGGAATTTCAACAGAGAAACATTTAAATCATTGGGAGAGTATAAAAACTATCTCATGTCATCATCATGTTAAAGATTTCAACTGAAATCACAATAAGTAGTTTTTCCAAAGGCACAGCTAATAAATGAAGAGCATAAATAGGATTTACATGTCTTATGCCCTAGTGTAGTAAGCAGTCCATGATACTAAATTTACTGTCTCGTAAGCACAATTCACATTCATAACCACACAAACAGGAGAAGGAAAAAAAACCTTAAAACCTACCAGACGTGGTATTCAGTGTTGTCTGTCCATTTCCAAATGTGATGTGAGGATTCTCTTCTGAGGCCTATCCAGTGGTCAGAAGGGCCTTTGTATCTTTTCAGAAAATTCTGTAATAAGACACAGAAATTGAAAACATGTATCTTTCTCTCTTAATACTCTTGAGTCTCTCCTCTCTACAGCCTTCTGTTTTGGGATCATAGCATGATATAATTGGGAAGTTTAGTCTAGTCATTGGAGTTAGACTAGGCCCTAATTCTCAGCTAAAGTCATTCAGTGTCTGTGATCTTAAATTACTTTATTGAAAGTCATGTTCCATCCCAGTTTGACTGGGAAAATCCTAGTTATGACTTGTATTAATATTAATATTGTCACTTTAACTCCCTAAAATGTCCCCATTTGGATGATTAATCATATGATTACCATACTTCTTAGTACATTGAGAACAATACATCTAATCTTGCAGGTTAACTATGGGGATTGCATGAGAGAATGTATCTAAAATGCCTCTCAGGGTTGCAGGCAAAGAATACAAGTGTTAGTCACTAGTGTGCATCCCATGGTCCTCAGTCTGCCTGAAATGGGATCCTTCCTTACCTTTCAGTTTAAATCCTACGCAGCCTCTCCCTTTAAGGGAGCTAAGTATTCAACAGAGAACATGATCCCACAATATTGCTTACCAGTTCCTCTGCAGTTTCAAACTGAACAAGATGAGCTTCTAAAGAGGCACAAAAGATCTGGCTGAATGTCCAATTTCTTGTTTCTTCAGAAAAATAAAAACACTTATTTCCAAATCCAATCCATGTTTGGGGGCAAGTAGCATTCACAGGATACTCTGAGATCAGCTCTGACTTTCTCCCTAAAAGTTGGACAGTCACAAATAATTATAATAAATAAAATTTTTCTACCTACTTTTCCATTTACCATCCAAGGTCAGTTTTGAAATATATACTTTTGATTGTTGCTTTCTGAACTCATCACTGAGTCTTAACTCTGAGCACAGTAGTCATCGATCCAGTGGTCTTCAAGTGGGGCAACTGTGTATTGGACTTTCCAAGCAGTACATGGGCACTAATGGTTTTAGGGAAACCAACTTCTACAGCATCAACTTCTGCAGCTCTGCAGTACTCTTTCCTAGTATCACAGAGACTCTCAGGCTCTCCTTTCCCACTTCTTCCTTAATATTAGCTCTTCTTCCTCATGATAAAAGAAAGGCCACTCCTTCCCTGTCCTAGGTGTTATTATGGTGCACTTCCTAGGGTGTACAGAACTATCCCGTGGATAGAACATAACATCATTAAAAAATTGATTTTGGTACCAAAATACAATTTAGGGCTTCCAGCAGTTTTCTATTTTATATGTATTTCTGTTAAATATGTACAAAAAATATTTCGGCCCTTGGGAATACTCTGAAACCAAGATTTCAGAATGTAGGCTGTGGGAAGAATAGCTATGTCTCATAACCTCACCTTTTCCCCCTTTAGCATCTAACAAAGAAGCCACTACTTCTCGAAGGGTCTAGTGAAAGTGATGAGATTTGTTAAGAAATATTCAATACCAAAGATGACTTCTATTTCCTCTTATATTTAAAGGTAGGCAATTCTGTACAGAAATGCTCAATCTCCATCCCTAGAGTGAGTCACTGGGTAATGGAGTGAGAATAGCTAGCTGTCAAGGTTAGTATCACTGCTTTTAATATAACTGAACTGTTTGGGGAAATGACCTAATATATTTTAAATTATGTTGAATAAAACCCATTGGTAAATTACATGATTTCTTGTAGATTTCAATGAAGTAGTTAAACTAATTTTATAAAATAACATGAAATATTTACTCCAATTATGGTCAATTTTCATTTTATATCCTCATATAAGATGTTTAACATGTTCTTCCTGTTAGTAATGAAAATAAAATTTGATGCTGTTAGACCCATTAAGTTTTTTGAGGGGAGGAGGGAGATTATTAGATTAGACCACTTTCTCCCATTATATTCATAGGAAAAATTTCACCTTGATTTCTAGTTTTATTAATGGATTTATTTCTGAGATTTATAAGTGATTCTAATATAATTACTTCAAAAGGCAAATATTAAACATATTTTGTACAGGCATTTACTAAAAAATTAACATGTTTTTTGTCATAATTCCCAAATAATAACACATAAGATTAGCTATACATGACAGACACTGCCTTATGGCAAACTACTGAGAATAGCATAGATTAATTCACATATATTAATAAATATGTAAATTTACTTTTGATAATTACCGTATTCCTATTATGTTAATATGTGAGCGCAAATTAGTTGGTAGTTTAAAACCTATACATGCTTAAGGTACTCTACAAGAAGATATGTCAAAGAAATAATCCTCCCATGTTTTCTTCCATATGCTACCTCTATAGCTTTTCTTCTTCCTTCCTAATTACAACCCTTAAATAGAATTCGTGCCTCATATCGAATTTACCGAGTATCATAATTCCTCCAGGTGGTAAAGATACCTCGAGACAAGTGCTGGGCATAGAAGCCACAGGGCATAAATCTGCAAAGAAGTAAAAAGCTAACCTTTGCAAACAATATGGCTTCTCTCTCACTTACCAACTTTACATTTCCCTGTATGGCCCCGGAAGATGACTGGTTAGCCAGAGACGGGTAAGATTCCTCAAGGGAGGAACAACCTAAGACAGGCACAGTCGCAGGGGGGCCATCAGGTGAGAATTTGGGGATCAACAGAGGTGAGGCTCAGAACCTCACCCCCCCTGCTTTGAGAGAAATCTTCTGCATCCGTGGATGTCTTGCTGCCCTTGTCTAGCCTGGATTAATACTTAGTCCATAGGCACACACCTGATCATCTGATCATCTACATTTGCCTTCTTACAGCACTAAACTATGTTTTCTACCTTTATCTTGCATCTACCTACCACTTCAGCATTTTATTAAAAATAAAAATAATAATAATAATAGGAGAAATGTGGGATCAACATATAAATCAAGTACAAAAATCAAACGAATATTCATATTTGACCTGATTGTTTATAGGTCATATTGCATGATCAAAACCGAAAGTTTCTGTGATGAATGCCCTTGTACTGTTCACCATGTAAGAATTTATTCACTATGTAAGAATTCGTTCACCATGTAAGAACTTGTTCGTTATGCTCCAGAAGATTGGAGACTGACGAGAATTAGGCTTGAGATGGATTAATGATTGTACATTGAGCGTTGACCCCCCTATACTGAATTTTATTGTTGTTAACAACCATTTGATCAAGAAATATGAGAGATGCCCTCAAAAAAAAAATTGTAAGTCTAACTTAATCCAGAATAAGTTATTTTAAGGGAGTCTTATGGTCATATGACTTTTAAAAATTACACTTCAATGTAGGTACATACATTGTGGCAGAAAAAATGAAAAAATATTAACAAAAGATAAGTGACTTTTAAGTATACCAAGATATTACATATTATACTCTGATAAAATTCTAGAGTAGAAACAATATTTAACTAAGCATTTGAAGAAAATGAACAAAAAATTTTTCTAGATTAAGAAAGTTTTTCTTGTGTTTTTTAACATAGATAATGACAGGTTCAAATCACAGCATTATTCAGATTCCAATAGATACGTTTAAAAGAAAAAGCAACAGGTTAATTTTAAAATGCCAGAAATATACTTCGAAATCGCAGATTTACAGTGTGCTGGAAATTACATCATTTGCAACTAGTTAAATCTCTGATAAAAAATGTTAAATGATAACTCAAAAATTTACCAGGGTATATTTTGTTTTCACAAACATTTAAATCACATTTAAGAGTTGTAGTAACGGAAAGCTTTTGAAGATCACTAATACAATCAGAATATACATAGTAGTTACTTACTAATATTGGTAAGTCATTTCTTCCTAACAGACCTAATTAAGTACGCCAAGTAAGTCTGAGGACCTATTGCCTACATGTACAAAGGAATTTATTTTGAGCGTATAGTTCTCCTGTACTTTTTGTGCATTCTGCATCTATGTAGGTAGAGGATAAAAACTGAGAGATCTCACCTGAATAGTTCTTTAATAAAATGGCAATTCTGATTGCGACATGTCAGGAAATAGCTCCATAGATGGAATTCCTTTACCCACAGCATTCTACTATCAAGGATGGGAACCACTTATTTGCCATGGTTCAAGAGAAAATCCTTAGAGTTAACTTTGACTTTTCTCTTTCTAAAACTTCATATCCGGTCTGATATGAAATATTGTTGACTCAACTTCCAAAATACCCATATGCGACTACCTTTCCCCACCTCCACTGTTAACACCAGGCCCAAGTCATCTTCATCTCTTGCCTAGATTTCTGTAAGACTGCCCTCATAGGTCTCCCTGATTCTACTCTTGTCTTCAAACAATCTGTTCTCAATATAACAGTCAAACTGCTTATTCTACAGTGGAGGTCAGGTTATGACATTCCTGTCCTACAATGTCCCTCTTCCCAGTCTTCCCCATTTCACTCAAAGTAAAAGACAAAATCTTTAAATGACTTAGAAGGTTATTACCCTCTGACCCCCATCACATTACTCTTTATTCTTTCTTAGCTTTAGCCACAGCAGCCTCCTTGCTGTTCCTCAGACCCACCAGGGTGATTCCTCTGAGTGCTTTTGCTCTACATGGTCTCTCTGCTGGGAGTGCTTTCTCCAGTTAGCCGCAAGGCTCCTTCATCTCCTTCCAAAGCTTGCTGCAAGATCGTCTTCTCAAGGAGACTTGCCTTGACCACTCTCAGTAAACTGCAGCCACTTCCACTCCACCTCTGTTTATTGCAGTATCTTGTGTCTTCCTGCTAGAACGTAAGTTCCCTGGAAGCAAGGAATTTTGTGTGTTTTGTTCACTGATATACCTCAAGAACTCCACACAGGGCCTGGCATGTAATGAAGCTCAGTAATTATTTATTGACAATATAAATGTGTGGAGAACATTGTGAAGTTTGGAGACTAAGCAACTTACTTGCTAAAGCAATGGGAAGTACAGTCACAACAGCTAGGCATGCAGCAGTAACAAGGAGGCAACAGAAAGTTCTCTTAGCAGATGTGTTTCCTGAACGTTTTCCTTGGAGCTTTTCTTGACCTATAAAATGCAAATATCATAATCTCAGTATCATGAAGGCCTTAGGGGAAACCTTAAATTTATCAGACTCAACCCTGAGGTCAGCTGTATCTCACCTCCCCTACTGCCAACCCCTCCCACTAAAGGTCCTGGCCATAGATGGTGGACATTGTCCAAAGAGCACCAGAGATAAGAGAAACTGAGTCTTTTTCCCTATGGAATTTTCCAGTTTTGGGGATGAGAGAGCAAGAAACAAAAAGAGTAGAAAGCAAGCTGAAAAGAAATATATAAGAAACAATCCAAACTGACCTCCTTTTTAAGAGATCTGGATAGAAGTACTGAAGGAAGCATTAGAAAATAAATCAGTGTAATTCATATTAGAAGACTAAGAAAAGAGAAAGCATATGGTCATCTCAATAAATATAGAAAAAATGTGAAAAAAATTAATAGTCATCCATGACAACAAATCCCAACAAATTAGGAATTGAAAGACTTCCCTTAAATTTGAAAAAATCAGCTACAGAACAAGTACAGCTAGCATCCTACTTAATGGTGAGAGTGAATGCTTTCCTCCAGAGATCAGGAATGAGGCAAGGGTGTCTGCTCTCACCCATCCAGTTTAACATCTTACTGGAGGGCCTATCAGGGGCAGTAAGAAAGAGAAATAAAAGGCATACAGATTGGAAGGAAATAAAAGTGTCTCCGAAGGGTATCAGCTCACCACCTGCCACCCAAACATGGATTTGATGACCTGCACATGAAAATACCTTCTCAAGAGCCAAGTGCTCCCCTGATGCTGCCTGACCCAGGGGCCCCAGGCAACTCCCATAGCAGAGCGTCCAGTGGGGTCCTGGGAACCCAGGCCCTCAGTACCCTCCCCCAAGCCTGGGCTGCCCAGAGAGACAGACAAAAAAAGAGTGAATTGACTGCCTGCCTTTGCTACAGACCCCACAGCTGCCTGCCCAGCAGCAAGCTGACTCTTGAAGCCCCAGGTGGCTCCCTGCAGGTTCCTGCTAACCCAGGCCCCACCTTGTGCCTGCCAGTTCCAGTGACCAGGTGACTCCCATGACAGCAGGCACCTGGTGAAACAGCACAGAGGTGCGTTTGTCTGCTTGTGTGACAGAAAGCCAATCTCCAAGACAGTCTTTAGCAGCAAGAGGGTTTTACTGTGGCAGCCAAACATAAAGGCAAGAACGATTGTTCGGACTACCTCCTCAGGATTATGTGAAGAGTGCTTTTATGGGTCAGAGAAAATATTTATTCTTTAAGGAAAGGGAAATGTCCAGGGTGTTTCTGATGACTGGGGTTGTGCTTATTGGTGTGCAAGCATTGCATGTTATCATGCTTGTTCATACATAACATATTAAAAAAATGGTGGATAAGCACCTCCGTGGGCAGGAATCCTAGCATGCTAATGAAGCAGAGGTTACTCTAGTACTTTCAGTTAGTTTAGCACATGCCAGTTTCTCTATGAGAGTGTCCCTTACTCAGTAAAGCACCTGCAGTTCCAGATAGGCCCTCTGGCAAATAGCTCAGAAAGTGATGACTTAGTCCATTGTTGGGGTTTTACCAGCAGGTTCCTGGGAACACAGGCCTCATTTCTCCCAGGCCCCTGCCCCAGGCGGCTCCTGTGACTCCTCTGCTGGCTCCCACAAATCAAGACACCAACTCATCTCAGTGCTTTGTAATCCAGAGGCCCCAGACACCATCCACAGCTCCAGGTAGCTCCCACAGCAGGGCTCTCTGCAGGCTCCCAAGAACCCAGGCCCCCACTGCCCCTGACATGTCCAGCAGCCCCAAGGGGTATCCTTGGCACCAGCAGGCCATGGTGAATCCAGGCTTATGGGGCCTGCTGGCTCCTGCAGTCCTAGGCATTTCCCATGGCACCACGTTCCAGAAGGGCTCCTGGGGGACCAGACCCCAGTTCACCCTGGAAACCTGCCAGCCCCGGTGGCTTCAGGCAGCTTCACTGGCCCCAGGCTTGCAGAAGGCCGCTGGGAACAGGATCCAGGCCCATGTGCCCCAGCAGCCCCACGCAGCCCAGTGGCCACAGGGTCCCCCATGGCTCCAGGTATCTTCCACAGTTTCAGGTTCCAAGAAGGCTCCCATGAGCCAAGGCTCCTGACCCACTCCATTACCTGAAGGCTCCCATGGTCCTAGGCAGCTCCAGTGGCCCCAGGATTCTGGCCCTTGTCATCAGACTCCCAGTGGGCTCCTAGGAACCCACATCCCCAGCTCACCACAGCACTTCCCAAATCCAGTTTCACCAGAAAACTCCTGGCAGGCTCCAGCACATCCCCTCACCAGCTGGCCTCCGTGGCTCCGGGACCCCTCCTGTGAACTCAGGCTCCCAGTCAACACCCACGACCCAGGCTCCATGGGAGCACCTGTGAACCCAGGGACCCTGTGGGACCAGCACTGGGCTGAGCACCCCTGTCCCAGGCTTTCAACCATTTTGAGCATCAGGCCACCCAAGGACTCCAGCAGGAAGTCCACCAATGGACACCACTAGATTGCCCACCCAAAGTCTCTGGATGAGCTGACTAGTGAAGCCCTTCCAAAGACAGTCTGTAAAGACCGGAGAGGTACCTACATCCACAACTGCAGCCCCCAACACCATGAGTGAGCAACAACACATGACACCACCTCCAGAGGAAACTGATAAAATTCCAAAGACAGATCCTCGAAAAATGGAGATCTTGAACTGTCTGACAGGAAATTCAGAATAATTCTCCTAAAGAAATTCTGTGAACTAAAAGAAAACACAGATAACTAAATGAAACTAGGAAAACAATGCATAAACAAAATGAAATAGAAACCATTAAATAAACAACAAATAGAAACCATTAAACCAAGCAGAAATCCTAGAGCTGTAGACTACATAGAGCCCTGCACCAAAGAATCAAGGAGAGATGCAACAGTAGATTTTGACCTGTGAACTAGAACACAGTTATTTTGAAATCATACAGTCAGAGGAGCAAAAAAAAAAAAAAAAAGGAATGAAAAAGTTTAAAAAGCCTATATGAATTACAGGATGCCACTAAAAGAAATAATCTATGCATTCTTGGACTCCTAGGAGAAGAGGGAGAAAGAAGCAGAAGGCTTATTTAATAAACAGTAGTTGTGAAGTTCCCAAATCTTGGGACAGATGTAGATATCTAAGTTCATGGAACTAATAGGTCACCCCAAAATTTCAACCCAATATGGTCTTTTCCAAGTCACATTTGTAAGAAAACTACCTAAAATCAAAGACAAAGAGAACAAATGTTTTACATATAAAGGAATCTCATAAGGCTCTTAGCAGGTTTCTCAGCAAAAAAACTTTTGCAGGCTAGGAGACACTGAGATGACATATTCAAATGGCTGGAAGAAAAAAACTATGAAATAAAAAAGTAAACAAAACTAAAATAGATTCTGTAACTTCAGGGGGGGAAATCCAGGACAAAACACCTTTGAAACCAAAGACAGTCAAAGGGAGAAATAAAGTGGGAGAAACCCATTTATTTCATACAAGCAGTTGTCCACTTCTGCTTACTCACGTCTCTTGCAACCCAGCTGCAAAAAGGGATCCCACTCAACCTCTCCAGTCCAGATATGCCCTTGCTTGCCCTTGTAATTACCTATTGATATAGAGATAGACTCCTCTCTACCCCTTGGAAACACCTATTATTGTGGAGATGCACTAAGGCCAGGCAAGAGATTCTGGAAATACTGCAATTTTACCTACAGCCCACCCCTCCAGAAATCGCACCTTACAGTCTACTCATTCCCCATCTTCCACAATGGCCCCTGGGAAAGAAAGCAGACTAACAGCATACAATAGCAACAGCAATAAACTCATGTTAATCCTCAAGTGAGAGGATTCAGCTAGGTTCAAAGTCCTATGCAAATTAAGCCATAGCTCGCCCATTCCACAGGCAGGCAGTCGCTGAACAGGTAGGGAGTTCAGAGCAATCATCACATGACAGCTGCAGTCAGGGGGCAGGTCCAGACCACAGGGACTATAATAGAAAATAAGTTTAAGGGTGATAAGATACATATTTTAATGATACCAGCATAGGCAAATCTTGTCCATCAGGTAGGATACATGCCAGAGAGTGGCCCTGTGACAGGATAGTGGCAGGAATGGGATCTCGTCCTGGTCTAGTATACCAGCCTTTCACCCCTCTCCCTGTGGGAGTTACAGATGGGTCAATATATAGGGTTATGGGATGTACACACACTGGCCATAAAGATAAAACAACTTCCCCATAGGATGCTTTTACTTCCTGTACATTTTGGGTACGCCTCTGTTATCTTTGGAGGCCACTCTACTGTTACTCCAGGAATACATACAAGACCAGCTTCCAGGCCTTTTTCCCAAAGTGCGAAAAAGACCAGCCATCACTGGTCCTTGTATCAAAATGTCCACGGCCATGTCCACTGAACAGAGTCTCTAGGGCTTAACACAGTTGGGCTGGCAGCAGGATGTTGCTCTGCTGGCCATATCTTGGCTTCAGTAACTCTTCTTTGGTTTGCACATACAGTTGTATAGGAGAGGCAGCAATGTGTGTGAGCATGTCCACAGGGCTCAAGGCTCATTTTCCGGGCTTCTCATTCAAATGCCATAGCACTGGCCATGAACGAACTGACCAGCCCCATAGATTATTGGTGTCTGACTTCAGGCCAGATTTCAACAAGCCATCGTACCACTCTGTTATGCCCCAATAGGGTTATATGGTACATGAAACTTCCACTTTATTCCTAATTGCTGCACCCATTCTTGTAAAGTATGGCCAGTAAAGTGGGTACCTTGATCACTCTTAATCACCTGTGGCCAGCCATAGGCTGCAGAGACGCTCTAGGCCCTTTTTGGTAGTTTGCTGATCTGCATGATGTGCAGGAAAAGCAACCAACAGGCCAGTAGCTGTGTCCACACAAGTCATGGCATACCGATATACTTCTGATGTGGGCAGAGGCCCAATATAGTCGATCTGCCACCTGACAAGGGGTATCAGCCCCTTTACTATTGTCTCATGTTG